GCATATACGGTTGGAAAAACAAGTCAGTAGAAGGTTCATCTCCGCCCATGTTGAAGTTTGTCATGTGCGGAGGTGGTGTGTAGATTTTGTCAGTAGGAATACTTGGGATGCCATCATCGTCAGAATCGTCGTTCACCATTTCATCAAACTCTAACTCGTTATCTTCTTCATCATCAACTGCATCTACCTCATCTTGTTCATTCTCCAAAGGATCAACCTCCTGTGTCACCGGAGGCTCTACCTCCTGTGTCACCGGAGGCTCTTGAAGCAAAACGTACAACTCAATAGAGTCGTATCCAGAATAGACATGGCTGGAAATCATGTTCTGGAGATCCTCGTCATCTTGAACTTCAACCTTATAAAAAATTACTTGGTTGTTTCCAAAAAAAACTGGATTCTGATAAAATATCTGGGATACCGGGCCTCGTTCACGTTTGGCCTCCAATCTTTTCTTGAAGTACGAGAAATTTGCCTTCCCGTTTAAGAGAAATCGAACGTTGTCGATGTTTCTAAACAAAAACCCAACTGTGGGACAAATGTATGTCTCACCGTTGAAATGTGCTTTGACAACAAATTGTGGTGAAGAGGCCATTGTGTAGAATTGTTTTAAGGTTTGAAGGTTGGAATGTTTGAGGTTTATTGATTGTATGAAGGTATGAATGCTGGAATGTTTGAAGGTTTGATGACTGATTCGAAGGTTGGAAGATTTTACAGATTATGTGAATCAATGTTATGTTCAACGTAAGGCAAAAAATTTCAATTAAGTAAGGGATGCAACCCCCCAAGGCTGCCAATAATATTACATGCAATAATGAAACCCCATAGGCTGCCACCTATCCTGGCCCTATTCTGCACACATACATGTTTTGTGTAAGACTCCACCCATCAACTCCAATGGCCTTGCATGCAACAAAGAAAGGAATCCCAAAGGTTGTCACGTAGCCTGGGCCTATGCTGTAAGAAGTGACACCTCTTATTCGCCAAATGGGGTGGCGACACCATTCATTTTTGTACTCTTTCTCCAAGTCCAATGGCGCATCCCTTACTGTCCAATCGTGATACATGCATGGGCTTATGAAACCCCATAGCCTTCCACCTATCCTGGCCCTATTCTGCACACATAAATGTTTTGTGTAAGACTCCACCCATCAACTCCAATAGCCTTGCATGCAACAAAGAAAGGAATCCCAAAGACTGTCACGTAGCCTGAGCCTATGCTGTAACAAATGACACCTCTTATTCGCCAAATGGGGTGGCGACACCATTCATTTTTGTACTCTTTCGCCAAGTCCAATGGCGCCTCCCTTACTGTCCAATCGTGATACATGCATGGGCTTATGAAACCCCATAGCCTGCCACCTATCCTGGCCCTATTCTGCACACATAAATGTTTTGTGTAAGACTCCACCCATCAACTCCAATGGCCTTGCATGCAACAAAGAAAGGAATCCCAAAGGCTGTCACGTAGCCTGAGCCTATGCTGTAACAAATGACACCTCTTATTCGCCAAATGGGGTGGCGACACCATTCATTTTTGTACTCTTTCGCCAAGTGAGATGGCGCTTCCCTTACTGTCCAATCGTGATACATGCATGGGCTGCCACCTAGCCTGCAAGAGTGACACCTTACATTTTTTGTAAATGCATGCATGCATATGTGTAACACCCTAAGCATGCAAATGTGACACTTCGCAGGCATGCAAGCACAAGCAACCACTACATCAAACTTATTTGCCTATAAATACATACCTTATGAAACATCTCTCACACCCACACAACTCTCACTCTCTGCTACGAAATATTTCTTAAGTCTATCATACTCTCTATTTCTTCCTAAGTCTTTCATACTCTCAAGCATTCTGAACAATGGCTCTTCTAACAATGGGCGATACTCACAGAGGCACAAGGGAAAACATTGCTGCATTTGTAAGTCTCTTCTTTGGTTATACATTTTTCATACTTCAAATAACGTGTTGTTCATCTTAATTAATCTTACACTTGTTTAATTATGATCTCAGGATACAAAAAGATTCAGAATCCGTTCGCACATTTATTTGCCTTATCTGGAATATGCAGGTTTTGGACATGTGATAAAGATCTCCAACTACACCATTGACTCAAAATTCATCATTCTTGCAATGTTGGAGAGGTGGAGACCGGAGACCCATACATTTCACCTACCAATAGGTGAATGTACCATCACTCTCGAGGATGTGTACATGCTACTGGGCCTCCCTATCGACGGTAAGGCGGTGAACGGGTCGGTTCAACAACCCAACTCACAGTGTGAAGAATTGTTGGGTAGGGATATGGTAGAAGGTGGTGGAGCAAGAGGGCAAGGAATACTACTCACTGACCTGAAACGTCATTATGCAAGTATGGAATTAAATGAAAATTCCTCAGAGAATGACCGAGTAGTAAAAGCCAGAACATATCTTATGATACTTTTTGGTACATTTTTATTTCCCGAAAGTACGGGAAATAGTGTAAATTTCATGTACTTACATTTACTAACAAATTTTGAAAAAACTAGAAAATATAGTTGGGGTTCTGCAGTATTAGCCCACCTGTACAGTTCCTTGTGCAAAAACGCAGTCAAGGAAAAATGTACATTTTATGGGTGCGCATTTTTACTACAAGCCTGGGGTTGGTGGAGGATGGAGTCCTTAAACCCCATCAACAACAACATTTTTGGTTTCCCGTACGCAACAAAGTAAGTCATTAAGTTATAGCATTTATAACTATTCTGCTCTTTCCAAAATATATGCTAAAAATAACATGTTTCTCATTTCCTTTAGGTACTGCGTGGGGGGTATGGATTACGGCAAGAATCCAAGATTCAATGTCGCACTCTACCGGAATTTGTTGGATCACTTAGGCCCAGATGACGTATGTCGTAGCTTTTAACTTTTGTTCATTTTAATTATTTATACATTACTTTTGCGCTAACCTGATTTAAATTTTATCGCAGTTCGTCTGGAGACCATATTTGGGTTTGGGCCATGCTCCAAACCCAGAGGATGCAGCAACTTAGACTGCAAAGACTGCACTCATTCGGTTCAACATTGTGGAGATGCACCACAGCGACCGTGTGAAGATGCAGTTCGGAATGCATCAAGAGATACCAAGTGATCCAACAGATTTGTCCCCCTGGCATCTAAAAAGGGTCGACGCCCAGTGGGGTCTTACCAACTGGAAAGACTTTGCTCCGGAATGGTGTAAAATGTGGCAAAGGCGTCACCGCTACATCTTGCAATCCCCGGTTTTCCTTACTCAAGGTAACATGCGACACACTGATCAATATATGTCGTGGTACAGGTCGGTTAGTAACCCAGAAATGCACGTGTCTCATCCGAGGTACTTGGTTGACCCACGCACATAATGGGCATAACCCTCGATTCCCCATCAACAAACACAAAATCCATCAACCTCAAACCAACCCCCAAGAAGAAACAGACCAACAAACACACAACCACATTCCCCACCACAACACAACTACAATCAAATGTCGTACTACCAACCACAATCACCACCAAACTACCAATACCCGGATATGCCTCAAACCCAACCACAATACCAACCCCAATACCAGCACACCCACATACCCCAGACACAATTTCAGTCTTCCACATATCCCAATATGGCGCCCTCAACATCCAGCCTTAGCCCTGATATGGGAATGTCAGAAGATTATGACCAAGCCGACCAAACCTACCATCAACCACCATATCACCAAACAACCCAACATCCACAATACCAAACACCCCAAGATCCATTTCCTTTCTACCCCTCATACTCAGACGACCAATGCTACCGACCAACCATGGAACCCCACCCACCGCCAACACGACCAAACTTTAAGGGTATGGGTAACCGACTGTACCAGAGCGGATCTTCGAGATATGGAGATCTTACTGATTTTATGGATTCGGATCGCATTGACTTCGCTGGGCCATCGACCTTGCCGCAGCAGGAAACGCGACAGCATCTAGCAAGAGAAAGGCGAGGACGGGGATGCGGAACCGGGGGTCATTACCGGGTTCTGGGGGATCACTGATGTATCTTTTTTTTTCCCAGTATTTTTTGTATCCATTTTTTTTACTGTTCTTTTAATGTAAAACAGTTGAATGTAATTATTTTTTTTAAATAAAAAATCCATTTTGTTGATCTCTGTCCAATAGGCAACGCACAGGAAAGAAAATAAAAAAAAAATTTGCCATAAATTTGTACATAGGCGCCATCTCACTTGGCTTAGGGCATGCCCTAAGCACTTAGGCGCCAAGTGAGATGGCGCCTCCCTTAAAAAAGGAGGTGCATGCGCCAATTGAGATGGCTCCTCCTTTGTGGAGCCATCTCAAACATGGTTATTTGCGTAATTTTTTCCGAAACCCGGTTATTTACGAAATATTTTTTTAATACATAGTTATTAATAAAAAAAATTCTCAATTGTTTTACATTAAAAGAACAGTAAAAAAAATGGATACAAAAAATACTGGGAAAAAAAAAGATACATCAGTGATCCCCCGGAACCCGGTAATGACCCCCGGTTCCGCATCCCCGTCCTCGCCTTTCTCTTGCTGGGTGCCGTCGCGTTTCCTGCTGCGGCAAGGTCGATGGCCCAGCGAAGTCAATGCGATCCGAATCCATAAAATCAGTAAGATCTCCATATCTCGAAGATCTGCTCTGGTACAGTCGGTTACCCATACCCTCAAAGTTTGGTCGTGTTGGCGGTGGGTGGGGTTCCTTGGTTGGTCGGTAGCATTGGTCGTATGAGTATGGGGGGTAGAAAGGAAATGGATCTTGGGGTGTTTGGTATTGTGGATGTTGGGTTGTTTGGTGATATGGTGGTTGATGGTAGGTTTGGTCGGCTTGGTCATAATCTTCTGACATTCCCATATCAGGGCTAAGGCTGGATGTTGAGGGCGCCATATTGGGATATGTGGAAGACTGAAATTGTGTCTGGCGTATGTGGGTGTGCTGGTATTGGGGTTGGTATTATGGTTGGGTTTGAGGCATATCCGGGTATTGGTAGTTTGGTGGTGATTGTGGTTGGTAGTACGGCATTTGATTGTAGTTGTGTTGTGGTGGGGAATGTGGTTGTGTGTTTGTTGGTCTGTTTCTTCTTGGGGGTTGGTTTGAGGTTGATGGATTTTGGGTTTGTTGATGGGGAATCGAGGGTTGTGCCCATTGTGTGCGTGGGTCAACCAAGTACCTCGGATGAGACACGTGCATTTCTGGGTTACTAACCGACCTGTACCACGACATATATTGATCAGTGTGTCGCATGTTACCTTGAGTAAGGAAAATCGGGGATTGCAAGATGTAGCGGTGACGCCTTTGCCACATTTTACACCATTCCGGAGCAAAGTCTTTCCAGTTGGTAAGACCCCACTGGGCGTCGACCCTTTTTAGATGTCAGGGGGACAAATCTGTTGGATCACTTGGTATCTCTTGATGCATTCCGAACTGCATCTTCACACGATCGTTGTGGTGCATCTCCACAATGTTGAACCGAATGAGTGCAGTCTTTGCAGTCCAAGTTGCTGCATCCTCTGGGTTTGGAGCATGGCTCAAACCCAAATATGGTCTTCAGACGAACTGCGATAAAATTTAAATCAGGTTAGCGCAAAAGTAATGTATAAATAATTAAAATGAACAAAAGTTAAAAGCTACGACGTACGTCATCTGGGCCTAAGTGATCCAACAGATTCCGGTAGAGTGCGACATTGAATCTTGGATTCTTGCCGTAATCCATACCCCCTACGCAGTACCTAAAGGAAATGAGAAACATGTTATTTTTAGCATATATTTTGGAAAGAGCAGAATAGTTATAAATGCTATAACTTAATGACTTACTTTGTTGCGTACGGGAAACCAAAAGTGTTGTTGTTGATGGGGTTTAAGGACTCCATCCTCCACCAACCCCAAGCTTGTAGTAAAAATGCGCACCCATAAAATGTACATTTTTCCTTAACTGCGTTTTTGCACAAGGAACTGTACAGGTGGGCTAATATTGCAGAACCCCAACTATATTTTCTAGTTTTTTCAAAATTTGTTAGTAAATGTAAGTACATGAAATTTACACTATTTCCCGTACTTTCGGGAAATAAAAATGTACCAAAAAGTATCATAAGATACGTTCTGGCTTTTACTACTCGGTCATTCTCTGAGGAATTTTCATTTAATTCCATACTTGCATAATGACGTTTCAGGTCAGTGAGTAGTATTCCCTGCCCTCTTGCTCCACCACCTTCTACCATATCCCTACCCAACAGTTCTTCACACTGTGAGTTGGGTTGTTAAACCGACCCGTTCACCACCTTACCGTCGATAGGGAGGCCCAGTAGCATGTACACATCCTCGAGAGTGATGGTACATTCACCTATTGGTAGGTGAAATGTATGGGTCTCCGGTCTCCACCTCTCCAACATTGCAAGAATGAATTTTGAGTCAATGGTGTAGTTGGAGATCTTTATCACATGTCCAAAACCTGCATATTCCAGATAAGGCAAATAAATGTGCGAACGGATTCTGAATCTTTTTGTATCCTGAGATCATAATTAAACAAGTGTAAGATTAATTAAGATGAACAACACGTTATTTGAAGTATGAAAAATGTATAACCAAAGAAGAGACTTACAAATGCAGCAATGTTTTCCCTTGTGCCTCTGTGAGTATCGCCCATTGTTAGAAGAGCCATTGTTCAGAATGCTTGAGAGTATGAAAGACTTAGGAAGAAATAGAGAGTATGATAGACTTAAGAAATATTTCGTAGCAGAGAGTGAGAGTTGTGTGGGTGTGAGAGATGTTTCATAAGGTATGTATTTATAGGCAAATAAGTTTGATGTAGTGGTTGCTTGTGCTTGCATGCCTGCGAAGTGTCACATTTGCATGCTTAGGGTGTTACACATATGCATGCATGCATTTACAAAAAATGTAAGGTGTCACTCTTGCAGGCTAGGTGGCAGCCCATGCATGTATCACGATTGGACAGTAAGGGAAGCGCCATCTCACTTGGCGAAAGAGTACAAAAATGAATGGTGTCGCCACCCCATTTGGCGAATAAGAGGTGTCATTTGTTACAGCATAGGCTCAGGCTACGTGACAGCCTTTGGGATTCCTTTCTTTGTTGCATGCAAGGCCATTGGAGTTGATGGGTGGAGTCTTACACAAAACATTTATGTGTGCAGAATAGGGCCAGGATAGGTGGCAGGCTATGGGGTTTCATAAGCCCATGCATGTATCACGATTGGACAGTAAGGGAGGCGCCATTGGACTTGGCGAAAGAGTACAAAAATGAATGGTGTCGCCACCCCATTTGGCGAATAAGAGGTGTCATTTGTTACAGCATAGGCTCAGGCTACGTGACAGTCTTTGGGATTCCTTTCTTTGTTGCATGCAAGGCTATTGGAGTTGATGGGTGGAGTCTTACACAAAACATTTATGTGTGTAGAATAGGGCCAGGATAGGTGGCAGGCTATGGGGTTTCATAAGCCCATGCATGTATCACGATTGGACAGTAAGGGAGGCGCCATTGGACTTGGCGAAAGAGTACAAAAATGAATGGTGTCGCCACCCCATTTGGCGAATAAGAGGTGTCACTTCTTACAGCATAGGCCCAGGCTACGTGACAACCTTTGGGATTCCTTTCTTTGTTGCATGCAAGGCCATTGGAGTTGATGGGTGGAGTCTTACACAAAACATGTATGTGTGCAGAATAGGGTCAGGATATGTGGCAGCCTATGGGGTTTCATTATTGCATGTAATATTATTGGCAGCCTTGGGGGGTTGCATCCCTTACTTAATTGAAATTTTTTGCCTTACGTTGAACATAACATTGATTCACATAATATGTAAAATCTTCCAACCTTCGAATCAGTCATCAAACCTTCAAACATTCCAGCATTCATACCTTGATACAATCAATAAACCTCAAACATTCCAACCTTCAAACCTTAAAACAATTCTACACAATGGCCTCTTCATCACAATTTGTTGTCAAAGCACATTTCAACGGTGAGACATACATTTGTCCCACAGTTGGGTTTTTGTTTAGAAACACCGACAACGTTCGATTTCTCTTAAACGGGAAAGCAAATTTCTCGTACTTCAAGAAAAGATTGGAGGCCAAACGTGAACGAGGCCCGGTATCCCAGATATTTTATCAGAATCCAGTTTTTTTTGGAAACAGCCAAGTAATTTTTTATAAGGTTGAAGTTCAAGATGACGAGGATCTCCAGAACATGATTTCCAGCCATGTCTATTTTGGATACGATTCTATTGAGTTGTACGTTTTGCTTCAAGAGCCTCCGGTGACACAGGAGGTAGAGCCTCCGGTGACACAGGAGGTAGAGCCTCCGGTGACACAGGAGGTAGAGCCTCCGGTGACACAGGAGGTTGATCCTTTGGAGAATGAACAAGATGAGGTAGATGCAGTTGATGATGAAGAAGAAGATAACGAGTTAGAGTTTGATGAAATGGTGAACGACGATTCTGACGATGATGGCATCCCAAGTATTCCTACTGACAAAATCTACACACCACCTCCGCACATGACAAACTTCAACATGGGTGGAGATGAACCTTCTACTAACTTGTTTTTCCAACCGTATATGCAGTCGGATGAAAATTTAAAAGAGAAGGACAAGTTTCGTAACAGAGAGGAATGCATCAGGGCCATCAAAAAATTTCACATGCTCAACTCGGTTGATTTTAAGGTGGATCGTGTAAACCCAGAAAGATACAAGATCAAGTGTGTCCACCCTGACTGTATGTTCAAGCTGACCGCATCATACAGATTAAGGGGTGACTGCTGGGTCATAGGTTCCATGACTACCCATACTTGTGTAAGTTCCACTCAATCACAAGACCACCGAAAACTCAACCATGATCTAATCTGTCAAGAAATCCTACCCCTGGTCAGCAACGACCCTTCTTTGAAGGTGAAAACAATCATCTCCCACATCACCACGGTTTTTAACTACACTCCATCTTACCGTAAGGCGTGGTTAGCAAAGACTAAGGCGATTGAAAGGGTGTACGGAAACTGGGAGGAGTCCCACGAGGGGCACTTAGTGCTATTTATAGTGATTGGAAAATCACAAGACTCGAGGTCATTTAATGTCTCAGACAAGAGTGGGGCACGTGGCGCTCATTTGGTGATGAGGCCGTTCTGCAGAACGGAAGTGATGCAGCGTGCGTCCTCGATTTCGGGGAATCGTCATGATGACAATCTGTGAAAGGACATTGGGCGTGCCAAACGCCTTACTGAAGTGACATCTTAGGAACAGGTGGAATAATGGCTTTTTGAGATTGTCAGTTGGTTGGTATGAGGCGAAAAGCGCACAAACTAATCTGTGGCTAAGAGTGAAGGACAGGTGTCGAGTGGAATCTCAAAGAATGCCTTTTTCTTTTCAGCGTCGAAATAAGACATTCTTGGAGGGCAATTTGTTGGCTCCTAAAATCGACACCCTTGTTTGTTATCAATATAGACCATTAATTATGAGTCAGAAGAATTTCCTACATAAGAAGGCTTCGACCAGCTGATCCTGTCGAAGGCTCATCAGAGAATGACAAGGTACTTAGAGAATTTTCTTTAAGTGGAAATCTTGTCGTCTTCGACGTTGAAGGAACCTCTCGACAAAGGTACCTGATGCCTAGGGTCGAACGGTTTGAGATTTGAATGCTTGGAGGGAAAACGGTTCCCAGCAGTTACCAAGTGCAACGTGCCGAGATCAGGAACGTCGAATGCTGTGAGCGTGCCATGTGGCGTCATCTCAAAGCGACGTAACTTCCCAACGGTTACTTAGGATTTGTTTTAGTATAAATACTAGTTGTTCACGTAGTTTTCGAGGGTGTTCATCATTTTATACAAGTGACTCATCTAGATTCAAGTACCCAGTGTGAGCGAAAGAATCATTGAGAATGTATGTGTGAAACACCATTTAAATTAATCAAAGTCTTTTATATTCAAGCACTTTATTGCTTTTCATTTACTCATCTCCGTCGAAGCCTTTTATTTAACGCTTTTATTTATTCTATCAAGCTTTTCTTCATGCAATTTACTTAAAGTGTCTTTACTTTACCGGCATTAATCACCATTAGGATTAGTCAAACTCCAGAAAATCAACCATGTCTTAGGATCAATCTGATCGATCCTGCGAATCACCAAATAAGTAACCTTTTGGAAGATCAGCGGTTTTTTACCAATTTTCACCGGTTGTTTACCAATTAATGGTCTATATTGATAACAAACAAGGGTGTCGAATTTAGGAGCCAACAACCGTACCGACATATGAGATTCTGTTTGATAAACTGGGCCACAACATTCTTTGTAACGGAAGCGAAAGAAGCTGCCTCAACACACTTCGTGAAATAGTCAATGGCAGGATAAACAGAGGTGTCTTCAAGTTATTAATCCATGAAATCATGGTCATGAAACTAAAATACTTAGTGAAATTTTGAGCATTCTGGTCAGGATTTTGACCTAACTTCTGAGCCAAGTTTCACATAGTTCCATTTGGATTTTGCAAAAGTGATTCAAAAAGGGGTTGTATAGCACATTACAAGCTTTCTAAAAAGTCAAAGAACTCCTTGAGATCATTTGTGAGCAAGGAGAATCGAAGGTCAGGAGTTAGGGTTTCAAGTTGTTTTACAAGGCAGAATTTTATGATGAACAAGAATGCAAATCCATGCTTCTGAGCCAAGTTTCACATAGTTCCATTTAGATTTTGCAAAAGTGATTCAAAAAGGGGTTGTAGAGCACATTACAAGCTTTCTAAAAAGTCAAAGAACTCCTTGAGATCATTTGTGAGCAAGGAGAATCAAAGGTCAGGAGTTAGGGTTTCAAGTTGTTTTACAAGGCAGAATTTTATGATGAACAAGAATGCAAATCCATGCTAGGTTGCACAATCTTTGCTTTGCAGACCTCAAAATTGTCTGGCACTCCATAATTAATGTTTTGCACAGCTGTTAGAGGCTTCAACTCAAGCATTCAATGCATTGCTCATACTTATTTCCATTTTGAGAAGAAAGTGCACATTGCCATTTTGAAAAATTAGCTTTATGCACAAAACTTGTTCTTGAGCTTTGCACTTGTTCTCTTCTGATCATACACGACCTATAACTCAAAAGAAATTTGTCTGAAGCCTCTAACAAGTCAGTCCATGCTTGTACTTCACCTTGAAACCATGTTTTCACTTTTCTTTAAAATCAAGTAACATAACAATCAGTCTATATCTTGTACTTGTGACCCTCTCAAGCACTTAAACCTTCTCCTTACTTATTCACAAGACATTTGCATCAAAACACACGCATACACAAGCCCTCAAGCTCCTTAGAACTCAACTGTAACAAAAAACTCTATTCTTGCATAATCTGAGCAAAAACTTGAAACTCATATTTCCCTCGTGCGTTTTCAAGCCTTTTGGTTCCTAAAGCTTCTAAACATCAAATACAACTCATCTCTGATCCTGTTTCATAACTGTAACATCTCCATCATCAAGTTCCATTTTTAAAAATAGAGCTCTACAAGTGGACTTCTCCAGAACTCCTCAGTGACTTTCAACTCAAGCCAAGCATCACATTAGCTTCCTGGGAACTTGAGGAAGCTAACCCAATCACTGGAACTCATCAAAAGTTGCTCAAACTCAAAACACGATACCCTCTTGCAATGTGAATTTTCTGACTTTTGAACTCTTCATATAGGCATCATTAATGTTTAACTTGTGAATGAAAAATGATCTAATCATTTCCCTAAAGCTAACCATGTCCATTATTTTCATTTTTGTTGCTTGAGCTTAGAGAATTTTAAGACTGAAATTTCTGGAAAAATTAGGGTTCAGATTAACGCCAATAAAATTCATATTTGTCTTTGATCTATAGTTTTAATGCTTTACATTTCTGAAATCGTGAGAAAATTTGCCACAAGATTCATGTTTATACTTTTGCAAATGGATGAGAAATGAATAAGATGCAGGTGGTCTGGCTAGGCGCGAGGTTGAAGATGAAGTTTTCTTCAAGAAGCAATTTCTAATATATATTTATGGTTTGACATAAGTTAACGGATGTATAGCCACCCCCAGTGGTAGAAGCGCGCACCTTTCACCTTTAGGACCTGGTTTCGAGCCCCATCGTCCGTTTTGTCATTTTTTCTTTCATTTTTTGTTTCTTTTGAGTAGGTAGATTGTTCCTAGTTGCTTGCTCAATTTCAAACCAAAACATCCTTTCTATTTCAAAACAAACATTAACACTTTCAAAAACATCTTTCAAACTTGAAAACATTTTCAAAAGATCAACATTTTGTATACATTTTTACGAATGAGAATCATTACAAAGTTTGCCTAAACGATGACGCATTTTCAAAATACTTTCCAAAACCATACAAAGCACATTTTCAAACAAAAACAGGTGATCTAGCAAGCAACTAAGAGCCCATAGAAAATCATGGATGACAAGGATGCTAACACCTTCCCTTTTCATAATCTACCCCCCGAACTCAAGAAATAATCTCAAATGTCTTTCCTGTTCTTTTCAGTCTTTCCTTTTGAATAAAAGAAAAATCGGTGACGACTCTTGCTAACCGCAACAATTGCGATCAAACGCAAAATACCCAAGTCAATTCGCCCACTGCGTTACACATAGTGTTTTGTTCCAACACCATAGAATGTTTTACAATTAAGTGAATAATAAGTGGAGAGTCACATTTTTTTCCACATACATGTAGCAAAAATTGCTATCATTAGGGGTGACAATTAAATCCAATAAGACAATTAAATTTATTAGGGGTGACAATTAAATCCTTCAATCTATCTATTAAAAAAATTCATCCAATTTATCCACCAAATAAAAAGTAAGTTAATAGATTGGATTAAATCCATCCATTTATATACATTGAATGATCCAAACCGTCCACCACATGTTGATGATCCAATACATTATTTTTATATTATTATTCAAATCCAATAAATCTATTTTTTTAAATTAATAAAAACTTAATTTTTTTTAAAATAAAGAAAACTATGTTATTCAGAATTTCGAAAAATCGAGTTTTATTTAAAAAATCAAAAAATCAATTTTTTTTTGGAAGATTGAGTTTTTTGAGAAAATTGAAAAAATCGAGTTTTTTTTTCTAAAAGTCGAGTTTTTTTCGGAAAATCAGAAAAATCAAATTTTTTAGGGAAATCAAATTTTTCATAAAATCGAGTTTTTTTTCTTCGAAAAATCGAGTTTTTCTGGAAAATCGAAAAATTGAGTTTGTTCAAAAAACAAGTTTTTTCGAAAAAACGAAAAAATCGAGTTTTTTTGAAAAATCAAGTTTTTTGTAAAATCAAAAAATCGAGTTTTTTCAAAAAAATCGAAAAAGCAAGTTTTTTTGGGAAAATAAAAAAAATCAACTTTTTGGGAAATCGAAAAAATGACTTTTTTGGGAAAATCGAGCTTTTTGGGAAAATCGGGTTTTTTAGAAAATCGAAAAAGTGAATTTTTTCGGAAAATCGATGAATAGAGGTTTTTCGGAAAATTGAAAAATCGAGTTTTTCGGAAAATCGAAAAATCGAGTTTTTTTTGGAAACTAAAAATTCGACTTTTCTCGAAAAATCGAAAAAGTTGAGTTTTTTCGGAAATACGGAAAATCGAGTTTTTTTTAGATAATCGAAAAATTGAGTTTTCCAGAAAATTAAAATTCATGTTTTTTCAGTAAATCAAAAAATCGAGTTTTTTTTGGAAAATTAGAAAAATCGATTTTATTTTAGAAAATCGTATTTTTTTAAATAAACGAAAAATTGATTTTTTTTTTTACAATCAAAAAATCGAGTTTTTTAGAAAAATCGGAAAAATTCAGAAATACGACTTGGTGTTAAAAAGAACTTGTTTCTCGGTGGGAGTTTGCGGTTAATTTAATGTATTGCTACTTATTATTATTTATTATTCATGCATAACTTAAATGTTGATTTTCTTTCATTTTAAATTTATATGTTTGTTTCATTTATTTATTGTGTTTCTATCTTATGGTGTTAGAGTGGTTTGCGATGAGAAAACTTTAACAAGGGATAGATATGTTTGCATTTGCTAATTGAGACAGAAAAATCAACTAGTCTTGATAGATTATTTGGAGCATGTTGTAGTAGGGTGACAAGGGATATATGAAATCCTAAGGAGTTTAATCTGGTTCTTGGTTTTTTTTTGCAACATATGGTTTAAGGAGAGACACAACTTTAATACTTGGAATAATTTTGAAGAA